GGTGTGCCCCGCGCCTGCCCCTGGTCAGCTGGGCTGCCCTGCCGACCGATGGGCACCCGCGTGGCGGCATGTAGCCCTCCTGCTCCTCCCCGCAGCTGTAGCTGAACCCGCTCGTCGAACTGCCGCCCCCTGTTATCGAGGTCCCGCTGCGCTAATGCTTGAGCATCGGCGCGTGCCTGCTCAGCTATCCAGCACAGCACCCCAGCGGGCGCGCGGATGACCCCCTCGTCCTGCGCTGCCTCCCACCACTGCAGCGCGGCCCCTGCCAAGCCCACGGAGTGGTCGGCGCTGAAGGCCTGCCCCTGAGCAGCCCTGGCCCGCAGCCGCTGGGGCGCACCCTCGCCAGGCGGGGGGGGGGGAGGGGGGGGCTCCTCGGCGCCATCGTCTGCTCATGGGGCCTCTGGCCCCGCGCCGCCGCCCTCGAGCAGTGGACCACCCTGGCCATCCAGGCAGACTCCGCCGTGACCCCTGGCGACCTCATTTCTTTGACAGATGACTGCAGCGCTTACTTGGTGACAGCGCGATCCGAACGCCCGACGTGCTTCTGAGCATGTTCCCCCACTTGAAATATTTGCACCAGGTCTTGCGCCGCTGCCGCGAGGAAGCTGCGCCAGGCCATCGTCAGCGCCGTGGGCTGACCAATCGTGCTGTCGCCCCCCGCTGCGTCTCCTCGCGCGGCATCAAGAACTCGTTGCACAGACTGGCCAACTTCGGCCAACGTGGCCTCCTGGTCGGACTTGCAGCGGCCCGACGGCCTCACCGTGGGGAAGAGCTTCGGCGCCTGCGCGACCAGCAACCACGGCCGTGCCCCAAGGGCCTCGACCTTCAGGATGAGGCGCGGTGGGAAACACGGGCGATCCTGGCACCACCTGCACGCTGACAACCTGCATCTCGCGCGAGACCAGGAAGAAGTCAATGATCCTGCCCGAGGCGGCGCAGGTCGCCACCGCTGGTCTCGCAACCTCCGCGTCGAAGCACTCCAGGAGATCGCTCTGCGCCAGCTCGTCGCACTCTGCGTTGAAATCGCCAGCCATGATGAACGGCCTCCTAAACTGCTTGAGACATCGCGCCAGATCACGCAAAGCCTTCCTGTTGGTCAGGTTCATCCCGGCGCCCGCCTCCAGGTACACGTTGACAAGCAGGACTCCTCTTTTGCACGCCCCCGAGTAGCATGCCACGCGTGCCCTGCCTGGCGCCACCGCTGCTGGTTTCACCTTCAGCTCCGCCAAACCATGCATCTCCTTTAACCATCGTCAGCAACCCTCCTGTGCCTAGGCCTCCTGCCTCAGACGCGATTGCTGCCGTGCACCGTCCTCTCCAGCCTGCTGCTCGCACCTGGGCCTCCGCGTCGCTGCTCCTGCCCGCCGTCAGCCTGGTTCCCTGGAACAGCATCGCGTCGCAGCCCTGCATCTCCTCCACCTCCATGCACTTGTCCAAATTGCTCAAGGCGTTGGAGTTGAGGATGGCCACCTGCCACTCCTCGCCCTGCTTGTCGCGCCCACGGCGCCGCGGCAGCTGCCCTGGCCCTGCTTTTGCCTGCTGCGCAGCGAGCCCTCTCAAGGGCGTGCTCGCTGCTGCTGGGCCTCCGAGGAAGCAACTCGGGCAGGCCCCTGATGTTGCGTCACCGGGATGGCAGACCCTCTCGCAATGACCTATGCCCTCCTGTGGTGCGGGGGGCCTCACGTCCGTGCCCGCAGCCTCGTCAACTTGAGCTGGCTGTTTTCCACGATTCCGCGCGGCCGCCTGGCTGGGCATCGAGGCGCCAGTCCCGCGCACACAGGGAAGAACCTCGAGGCCGCCTCTGTCATCCCGCGCCCGCGAGGTTGGACCTCCTGGGCCAGCGGGGGCGGCGCGGACCCGATCCTGTGGCCCTCCATCACCACGTGGAGCAGCGCATTACTCTTGCCGCGGCCTCTCCGCCAGCCGCGAGCACGCCTGCTGCAGCACCTCGACGCAGCGTCTGTGCTTGTCTGGTTGGGTGGCTCCATCAGGCGCCGCTGCAGCACCTGCGAGCCATGCCGCCTCTTCCTCGGAGAGGGGTGGGGCTTCTTCGTCCACGGCCATCGCAGGTGCTGCTGGCTCAGCCCCGCTCCCTGGCACTGCTCCTGGAGCATCTGCGGGCTGCCCTGGTGCTCCTGGCGATGCTGCGCCCCCGTCGCCCCCGCCGGCAGCAGATGGCTCACCACCAGGAGCTGCAAACACCTCCTCAGCAGCCCCCCGCTCCAGGTCGGACGCCAGCTTGGCGAGGCCCGCTGCCGGCCGAAGCACCTCGAAGCTGGCTCCCACTCGGCCTGCGAGGTGCACGCGCTGCACGCGGAGCGCGTCCACGTCGTTGGCGACGCCTCGACTCGGCCCTTCTGCAGCAACGCGCGCCTGGACCTCGACCTGGTACGCGCGAACCGCCTCCTCAGCCTGCTTGGCCTCCTGCACCTCGGCGCGCGCCGCCTGCAGTGCTGCCTGGCACCGCTGCTCCTCAGTCTCCGCTGCGACCAGCGTGGCCGCCGCCTTCTCGGCGCGGAGGTTGGCCTCGCGCAGCTGCGCAACAGTGGGCTTGGCGCGGTCCCGCGACTCGCGGGCTGACCGCAGCTGCGCCTCCACGTCCGCGAGCGCCTCCTCCCAGTGGCCCGACGAGCAGTCGCACTCCGTCTCGAGTCACTTCTTCTTGCGCAGCCACTTCTCGACCTGGCTCGGCCCTTTGGTCCAGGGCCGCGCATTCTCCTGGCCAGCCCCAGCTCCTGCCCTGGCGGGTGTGTCCTCCAAGGCCTTGACCTTTGCCTGGAGGGCGTTCTCCCGCTCTTCGACCGCCTTGAGCTTCGCCGCCAGGGAGGCCGCCTGCTGCTTCGCGCCCGCGCCAACCGCCGACCAGGCACCTCCAGCACGCGGCGCATGGCAGTGGGGGTCGCGGCAATGGGTGTGGAAGCCGAACAAATCGCCCAGCCCACACACCCAGCACTTCCACGTCGGCCCATCGGGCGCCCCCTACTTGCTGCCTGCCGTCCGCGACCGCGTGCCCGCGCCGTTGCCCGACTGGGGCTGGGGCCCGCGCTGGCGCCCTGCTGCACGCCCACCACCTGATCCAGAGCCGCCCGCCATCTGCGCACCTCGCGCGCCGATGAGAGCCAGCCGCGGACTGGCGGTATCCACGTGTTCCCCTGTGGAACAAAGCTTCTTGAGCCAAAATGGCTACGGAGAGGAGAGGGGGAGGAGGAGGAGGAGGAGAGGGATAATAATACGGAAGGCAACGCACATTCGGCGAGTCCCCCCGCCCAGCAGCTGAGAGAACTCCGCGGCCCAGGGTTCAGGCATCTGGGGGTCCGCTTCATGCGCAAAATTATGATGTTGGGCGTCTGGGCTTCCGGCGTTGTCCCATCCTTCCACCCTTCAAGTACACGGTTGGCGTCGTCCGATCTAATCCTCCCTATGGGTAGGGGGAAGAGGGTCAGAGAATCCACTATGATAATGCAGTGTGTCAGTGTGTGTGTGTGTGTGTCTGTGTGTGTGCGTGCGTGCGTGCGTGCGTGTGTGTGTGTGTGCTTGTGTGTACGTGTGTGTGTGTGTGTGTGTGTGTGTGTGTGTGTGTGTGTGTGTCTGTGTCTGTGTGTGTGTGTGTGTGTCTGTGTGTGTGTGGGGGGTCAGGGGAACCGGAGGGGCCGTGGATGGAGGTCCTCAGGTGGGGCCGAGGGTGGATAGTGAGGGGGAGCAGTCCAGCAGGGCTGGGCCCAGGATGGGCACAACCGTAGTCGGTGTATTTGGATGACTGGCATCTTCCAGAGGGGACCAGCGAGGAATCTACGCCAGATGACCTCCAAAACTACAAGCACTCCAGACGCATGCCCCTGCTCTTTCCCGAGGGGGCTCCCCTGGAAATCTCGCCCCCTCCTTCCGACTCCCCCAGCCCCCTTCCAGACCCTCCCCCCGCTCTCTCTCACACACACTCTCTCTCTCTCTATCTTATACCCGTCTTTCTCTTTCTCTATCCCGTCTCTCGATGCCCTCTCTCTGTCTGTCTCCCCCTCCCTCTCTCCCTCCCTGGACAACCCCCTTTCTCTTTCCCAGGCTCTCTTTTTTCCACTGGACTGAAACATATTTCCCAAGACAAACTCCGCCCGACCCCATCACCCCCCGGACTACACCCTCACCTCCGACTCATACCCGCTAGGCCTGCACAAGGACGAACCCACAAGAGGGGCACTGAAGCCCCTCTTCCCCGGAACCGACCACGCCCAACCCCTATATCAGCGGATATGTACCCTCCTGGCCCGGCAATGGGCGCACAAACCACCGACTCTAGGCCGGAGACCGGCCCGGCCGGGACCAATCTGGTCTACGTACCTGGATCATTGAATACGTATTTTTTCTGTCGCGATTTGTACCGACCGATCGAAACTCAAAATCGGTCGCGACCGATAACAGAATTGGACGCAAAATCGGCAGCAACCGATCTCGTCGGCCGCGACCAAAAAAAATTAATCCAATGGGTTAGGGTACGCGGATAGTCGGCGCCCCCCTTGCCACTGGATCCCCGCTCTAGCTTCTCATGGATCACCTGACTTCGCGCATCGCGCCCCGCGCCGCTCCGTGGAGAAGGGCAGCCGCTCTGGCTCGGGCCGCGACGCGCGAAAAGCGACTATCTTCGCGCCTCCACGGGTGACCCAGCTTCTCTGGATCGATGAGCCCTCGAACATGCGTTGGCGCCAAGATGCCCTTGTGCGCGGAAACCCTGTCGGTACGACGCATGCAAGACAACCGGGGGCTGCGTGCCACTGGAGGAGCCAAACAGGGCAAGCACCCACAGAGACAGCACACACAGTACACACAGCACACTCAACACACACACACACACACACACACACTCACACATTCACACATCACGCACACACACACACACACCGGGCCAACACGCGTCCTGATTATCATCGGGAGGAGGCAATTCCCGTATGCGCCCCGGGTCGCGGAATCCAATAGCGGAGAGCGCCTACGAGCGCAAAGGGCGCGCGAGGTCAGAGCGTTGACTTGCGTATGATTCTCATGAACTCCTCCTCGCTGACCTGCGGGGCGGCAGAGACACGCGCCAGCCCGCGCCGCAGGTCCCGAGCCGTGCGGGAAAAGCTGGCGGCTCGCGGCCAGACGCCGCGCGGTGCGACTCTGCTCAAGCTGCGCTCGGTAGGACCATGGTCAAACTGCGTCCGCGTCGACAGATGGGCTCTCGTCGCCTAGGTCGAGCCGTGGGAGTGGCGTGGTCGCAGGCCTGCTGTCGCCAAATTCCCACACGCAACCAAGCCATTACCCTGCTGCTCGAACTGTTTCCGTTCTCACTCCGACACCTTGGTACTTACAAACTGCTCCACACGATCACAACCGATCCCCTGTTTCTCTCTTGCTCCTACTGCCGTCTCGTACCGTTACCGTTGCTCCACCACTGCGTACTACCCTTTTTGGTCTTTCACTCGCGTGCTCAACCCACGCTCCTCGCTTGGCCCATTGCTTGGCGCCGCCAAGCGCCAAGCAAGGCCCCCTCACGCACCAGTAAAAGACATATAAGAATGAGAGAGCGCATTTCAGAAGGGCGTTCTTGAAACTGAGGGACCCCGCGCGAGAAAACAGTCCAGATGCCCCCACCGAAAACGGGGGACACCAATCCCCTCTCAAACACCCCCGACCCTCACGGGCCCAAGGGCGGGGGGGTCCAGATTCTCCCCGCCCCCAACTAATCGTCATCGTCGTCGTCTTCGTCGTCGTCGGCGGCGTCGTCGTCGTCTGCCGGCGGCGAGTGGGAGGTGAGGGGTGCAAGCCCACTGCTACTCTCCTTGCGCCGCAGGAGGGGGGGGAGTTAGGAACCCGCCCTCCCCTCCCCTTGCCGCAGGGGGGGGGGAGCGGGGGTACCAACAACCACCCCTGCCCAACCGCACGTGGAAAGCGCTCTTCCAGAAGCGCTGGTGCCCAGGGTCGGCGCACGCCCCCTCTGGCTTAGCCAGGAAGCATCTGCACCGAGCCTGTGCCCAGACTGGGCTTGACCAAGATCAGTGCACCCAGGGGTCCGACGTATTCATTTTTCAAGACAAGGCCTCCCAGAAGTCCCGAGACTGGCGATGCATCCTAAACAATTTTCTGACAGTCCCAGAACCCAGCGAGGGCACCCCGAAACCGAAAACTACGAAAAGGTCCGCCTCGATGTGGGTCAATACGTTGGCGGTCTGGGGAATTGTGCGCGTATGCCTCGACACCTGAACCAAATTTCAGATCGAGGGGACGATAACGGGGACAATGACCAAGACTGATCGAGGAAATGTCGTGTCGATCTGATCACCGTCTATATTGGTCAGCGCCGATTCGTGGATCATCCTGATCATCCTCGCGAATGGGAGACGGGCATGGACCATGACCAAGATCGGTATCGGCAAGATCCTGCGACCTCACAATCATCCCGGAGATCCGACGTTACAAGAAATGTAATATCGCGAAATACCACGACTGGAGCCCTACACAGTTTCTTTCGGTGGCATTATTCGATCCGGATTGATCTGTGAGGGTCCCCGGGCCCGAAACGAGGCGACAACGCCTGGTGCGGAACAACTGCAAGCCGCGACACCTTGGTCACGGTCAGTACACAGACATGCGACGCTATGTTTTTGTTTCTAGTTACGCGGTCCGCAGGAGTCCTGACGCATTCCCAGGGGCCAGTCTTTCATCCTGGTTGTGTTGGGTCCTCGTTTTGAAGAGACAGCGCCCCGCGTCTCCTCGTCTCCTCTCTTCCTTCCTCCTCCTCCCTCCCTCTTCCCGTCCCCCCCCCACCTTGGCACACCCCTCACGCGCCGCGTTTCGTGGCCCCACAGGGAGCTCCACCGAAGGTCCCAGCGCTACCGCCCGCATGCGTCCCCCCACCCAATACAGCGTTTCGTGGCCCCATATGGAGCCCCACCGAAGGCCCAAGTGATACCGTCCGCATGCGTCCCTCCCTACTCAGTACACCGCTTCGTGGCCCCATAGGGATCTACACCGAAGGTCCCAGTACTACCGCCCGCATGCGGCCCCCCCCACCCAGTATAGCGCTTCGTGGCTCCAGAGGGAGCTCCACCGACGGCTCCAGTGCTACCGCCAGTATGCGCCCACCCCACCCATTACAGCGTTTCGTGGCCCCAGAAGGAGCTCCACCGAAGGTCCCAGCGCTAGCGCCCGCATGCGTCCCCACCCAGTACAACCTTTCGTGGTCCCATAGGGAGCTCCACCGAAGGTCCCAGTGCTACCACCCGCATGCGTCCCCCCTACCCTGTACAGCGTTTCGTGGTCCCACAGGGAGCTCCACCGGCGCCGCTGACACCGTCAGCATGCGTTTCCCCACCCAGATGCCTCAGTGGCAATTTATCATTTCGTCTCCCCCACCCAGTACAACGTTTCGTGGCCCCGAAGGGAGCTCCAACGACGGCCCCAGTGGCCCAGTCCACATGCGTCTCCTCAACCCAGTGCAACGTTTTGTGGCCCCATCAGGAGCTCCACCGACGGCGCAGGGGGCACCGACCACTTGCGTCTCGCCCGCCGCGTTCCATGACCCCATAGGGAGCTCCACCATGCGTCTTCCCCACCAAGTACAAGGTTTTTGATTGTGTTCTGCGATTCAGCAAATTCGCCGGCCCAACGGGCCAGAGGCGTGCAGAGATCTCCGGTAACTACTTAACAATATTTCTAGTTCGCGCGCGCGGGGCGGCCCCTGGGGGGCCCCGGACGGAAAGTACCCCGGCCAATCCCCGGCTGGGTCCCGGGCGATCCCCACGGGGGAGGCTATTTTCGCCACCCCTCACGAGGATCGTGGCCTCCGAGGGGGGGGGGCTGCAATCGACTACCCCCCCTCCCGCCCCAAGGGGCCCCCAAGAGCCCCCAAGAGGCCCCAGGGGGGCCCAATACGCCGCCAAGTCCCAAGAAGCCCCCAAGAAGCCCCCAAGACGGCCCCAAGAGGCCCCAAATAGCGCTCCAGGGCCGGCGGAAAGAGCGAAGCGATTAAACAAAGTCCCACGTCGATGCTCCAGTCGGGTGCCTAGGCAAACCCACAAAAGCACCAACAACATAATGGACAGACACGCGTCAACGTCAATACCGAATCGCGCCCAACATTACCCCGTCAAGCTGGCAACAAAAGATGGAAGAGGATGGAGAGGAGGAGGACGAGGACGAGGATGAGGATGAGGATGAGGACAAGGACAAGGATAATGATAAGGATATGATACGGATAAGGATAAGGATAAGGATGAGGATGAGGATGAGGATGCGGATGATGATGATGGTGATGATGATGCTGATGATGATGAGGAGGAGGAGGAGGAAGAAGAAGACAAGAAACAAATTAGCCTGGCGAAGGACCCAACCATATGCAGTTGTGAATGCCGCAATTGTGTTGGGTGGTGGCGGACGCATGCGGGCGGTGCCACTGGGACCTTCGGTGGAGCTCCCTATGGGGCCACGAAACGCTGCACTGGGTGGGTGAGACGCGGTCAGCAAGGGCTGTGCTGCGTGGTGGCGGACGCATGCGAGCGGTGCCACTGGGACCTTCGGTGGAGCTCCCTATGGGGCCACGAAGCGCTGTACTGGGTGGGTGAAACGCAGGCAGGGAGCAAGGGCTGTGCAGGGTGGTGGCGGACGCATGCGGGCGGTGCCGCTGGGACCTTTGGTGGAGCTCCCTATAGGGCTACGAAGCGCTGTTCTGGGTGGGTGAAGCGCAGGGAACAAGGGCTGTGCTGGGTGGTGGCGGACGCAAGCGGGCAGTGCCACTGGGACCTTTGGTGGAGCCCCCTATGGGGCCACGAAACGTGCGAGGGGTGTGCCAGAATGGGGTGTGGAACCGCATGCCAGCGCAGCCACTGGGGCCTTCGGTGGAGCTCCCTATGGAGCCACGAAACGTGTGAGGGGTGTGCCGAAATGGGGGGTGGAACCGCATGTGGAACCGCATGCCAGCGCAGCCACTGGGGCCTTCGGTGGGGCTCCCTATGGAGCCACGAAACGTGTGAGGGGTGTGCCGAAACGGGGGGTGGAGCCGCATGCGAGCGCAGCCACTGCGGCGTTCGGTGGAGCTCCCTATGGGGCCACGAGACGTGTGAAGGGCGTGCCGAAAAAGGGGGTGGAACCGCATGCGCGCGCAGCCACTGGGGCCTTCGGTGGAGCTCTCTATGGGGCCACGAACCGTGTGAGGGGTGTGCCGAAATGGGGGGGGAACCACATGCGAGCGCAGCCACTGGGGCGTTCGGTGGAGCTCCCCATGGAGCCACCCACGAAGCGTGTGAGGGGTGTGCCGAAATGGGGGTGGAACCGCATGCGAGCATGCCTTCGGTGGAGCGCCACGAAACCACTGCGGGCGCAGCCACTGGGGCCTTCGGTGGAGCTCCCTATGGGGCCACGAAACGTGTGAGGGGTGTGCCAGAATGGGGGGTGGAACCGCATGCGGGCGCAGCCACTGGGGCCTTCGGTGGAGCTCCCTATGGGGCCACGAAACGTGTGAGGGGTGTGCCAGAATGGGGGGTGGAACCGCATGCGGGCGCAGCCACTGGGGCCTTCGGTGGAGCTCCCTATGGGGCCACGAAACGTGTGAGGGGTGTGCCAGAATGGGGGGTGGAACCGCATGCGGGCGCAGCCACTGGGGCCTTCGGTGGAGCTCCCTATGGGGCCACGAAACGTGTGAGGGGTGTGCCAGAATGGGGGGTGGAACCGCATGCGGGCGCAGCCACTGGGGCCTTCGGTGGAGCTCCCTATGGGGCCACGAAACGTGTGAGGGGTGTGCCAGAATGGGGGTGGAACCGCATGCGGGCGCAGCCACTGGGGCCTTCGGTGGAGCTCCCTATGGGGCCACGAAACGTGTGAGGGGTGTGCCAGAATGGGGGGTGGAACCGCATGCGGGCGCAGCCACTGGGGCCTTCGGTGGAGCTCCCTATGGGGCCACGAAACGTGTGAGGGGTGTGCCAGAATGGGGGGTGGAACCGCATGCGGGCGCAGCCACTGGGGCCTTCGGTGGAGCTCCCTATGGGGCCACGAAACGTGTGAGGGGTGTGCCAGAATGGGGGGTGGAACCGCATGCGGGCGCAGCCACTGGGGCCTTCGGTGGAGCTCCCTATGGGGCCACGAAACGTGTGAGGGGTGTGCCAGAATGGGGGGTGGAACCGCATGCGGGCGCAGCCACTGGGGCCTTCGGTGGAGCTCCCTATGGGGCCACGAAACGTGTGAGGGGTGTGCCAAAATGGGGGGTGGAACCGCATGCGGGCGCAGCCACTGGGGCCTTCGGTGGAGCTCCCTATGGGGCCACGAAACGTGTGAGGGGTGTGCCAGAATGGGGGGTGGAACCGCATGCGGGCGCAGCCACTGGGGCCTTCGGTGGAGCTCCCTATGGGGCCACGAAACGTGTGAGGGGTGTGCCAGAATGGGGGGTGGAACCGCATGCGGGCGCAGCCACTGGGGCCTTCGGTGGAGCTCCCTATGGGGCCACGAAACGTGTGAGGGGTGTGCCAGAATGGGGGGTGGAACCGCATGCGGGCGCAGCCACTGGGGCCTTCGGTGGAGCTCCCTATGGGGCCACGAAACGTGTGAGGGGTGTGCCAGGGGTGTGCGGGCGCAGCCACTGGGGCCTTCGGTGGAGCTCCCTATGGGGCCACGAAGAGTGTGAGGGGTGTGCCAGAATGAGTGTGGGAGGGGGAGGAGGGGGGAGGAAGGGGAGGAGGAGGAAGGAGGAGGAGGAACGCGGGGCGACGTCTCTTCAAAACGAGGACCCAACACCACAGGATGGTTGGGAACAAACGACATGCCTCAAGGGTGGAAAGTGGCAACGATCCGTGGGCACTCCGAATGGTCCGACTACGCATCAAATTCGCCATCACCTAGATCCACCGCCATGTACATCGCTTCGTGGCTCCATAGGGAGCTCCACCGAAGGCCCCAGTGGCACAGTCTACATGCGTTTCCCTCACCCAGTACAACGTTTCGTGGCCCGTAGGGAGCTCCACCGAAGGCCCCAGTGGCAAAGTTCGAATGCATCTCCCCCACCCACGACGACGTTTCGTGGCCCATAGGGAGCTCCACCGATTGGCCCATAAGGAGCTCCACCGAAGGCCCCACTGGCAAAGTTCGCATGCGTCTCCCCCACCCAGTACAGTGTTTCGCGGCCCATAGGGGAGCTCCACCGAAGACTGCGCCCATAACTGCTGTATTCACAACTGCATATGGTCGGGCCCTTCGCCAAGTTAATTCCCAATCGTGCTGTGGTGTTGGGTCCTCATTTGAAGAGACAGCGCCCCACGTTCCTTCCTCCTCCTCTCCTCCTACTCCCCCATCCCTCCTCCCGTCGCCCCTCTCACTTTGGCACACCCATCACACGTTTCGTGACCCTCATAAGAGCTCCACCGAGGGTCCCCGTGGCGCAGCCCGCATGCGCCCCCGCCACCCATTTTGGTACACCCTTCACACGCTTCTTGGCTCCACAGGGAGCGCCACCGAGGGTCCAACTGGCGCAGTCCGTATCCGCCCACGCTACCCATGTCGGCACACCTCTCATACGTTTCGTCACCCCACAGGAGCTCAACCGAATGTCACAGTGGCGCAGCCAGCATGCGTCCCCGCCACCACATTCGACGCACCCCTCACACGTTTTGTGGCACCAGGGGAGCCCTGCCAGAGGTCCCAGTTGCGCAGCCCGCATGCGCCCCCGCCGCCCATTTTGAGACACACCTCGCACGTTTCGCGGCCTCATGGAAACTCCAGCGAAGGTCCCAGCGGCGCAACACGCATGCGTTCCCGTCACCACATACCTCACATGTTTCGTGCCCCCCATAGGAGCTCAACCGAAGGTCCCTGTGGATGGCGCAGCCCGCATGCATCCCCGCCACACATTCCGGCACACTCCTCACAAGCTTCATGGCTCCACAAGGAGTTCCATCGAAGGTTCAAGTGGCGAGGCCCGCAATCGCCCCGGCCGCTCATTCTAACACACCCCTCAAACGTCTCGTGGCCCCAGAGGAGCTCCGCCGAAGGTCCCAGTTGGGCAGCCCGCGTGCGACACCCCTCACACGTTTCGTGGCCCCATAGGAGCTCCACCGAAGGTCCCAGTGGCGCAGCCCGCGTGCGTCCCCGCCACCACATTCGGCACACCTCTCACACGGTTCGTGGCCCCAGAGGAGCTCCGCCAGAGGTCACAGTTGCGCAGCCCGCATGCGCCCCCGCCGCCCATTTTGATACACCCACCCCTCTCACGCTCCGTGGCCCCATAGGAGGGCGCTCCTCCAAAGGTCACGGTGGCGCAGCCCGCATGCGTCTCCGCCACCCAGTCGGTACACCCCTCACACGTTTCGTGCCCCCCATAGGAGCTCTACCGAATGTCAGTGGCGCAGCCCGCATGCGTCCCCGCCACCACATTCGACGCACCCCTCACACGTTTTGTGGCACCAGGGGAGCCCTGCCAGAGGTCCCAGTTGCGCAGCCCGCATGCGCCCCCGCCGCCCATTTTGAGACACACCTCGCACGTTTCGCGGCCTCATGGAAACTCCAGCGAAGGTCCCAGCGGCGCAACACGCATGCGTTCCCGTCACCACACACCTCACATGTTTCGTGCCCCCCATAGGAGCTCAACCGAAGGTCCCTGTGGATGGCGCAGCCCGCATGCACCCCCGCCACACATTCCGGCACACTCCTCACAAGCTTCATGGCTCCACAAGGAGTTCCATCGAAGGTTCAAGTGGCGAGGCCCGCAATCGCCCCGGCCGCTCATTCTAACACACCCCTCAAACGTCTCGTGGCCCCAGAGGAGCTCCGCCGAAGGTCCCAGTTGGGCAGCCCGCGTGCGACACCCCTCACACGTTTCGTGGCCCTTTTGGAGCTCCACCGAAGGTCCCAGTGGCGCAGCCCGCGTGCGTCCCCGCCACCACATTCGGCACACCTCTCACACGGTTCGTGGTCCCAGAGGAGCTCCGCCAGAGGTCACAGTTGCGCAGCCCGCATGCGCCCCCGCCGCCCATTTTGATACATCCACCCCTCTCACGCTCCGTGGCCCCATAGGAGGGCGCTCCTCCAAAGGTCACGGTGGCGCAGCCCGCATGCGTCTCCGCCACCCAGTCGGTACACTCCTCACACGTTTCGTGCCCCCCATAGGAGCTCTACCGAAGGTCCCAATGGCGCAGCCCGCATGCGTCCCACCCACCACTTTCGGCACACCCCTCACACGTTTCGTGGCCCCAGAGGAGCTCCGCCGAAAGTCTCAGCTGCGCAGCCCGCGTGCGTCCCCGCTATTCATTTTAACACAGCCTTCAGACGTTTTGTGGCCCCGTAGAGAACTTCGCCGAAGGTGCCGGTTGGGCAGCCCGCATGCGTCCCCGCCGCCCTTTTTGACACATCCATCACACGCTTCGTGGCCTCATGGAAGCTCCGCCAAAGGTCCCCGTGGCGCAGGCTGCATGCCTCCCCGCCACCACACACCTCACGCGTTTCGTGCCCCACATAGGAGCTCTACCGAAGGTCCCTGTGGCGGTGCCCACATGCATCCCTGCCACACATTTCGGCACACTCCTCACACGCTTCGCGGCTCCACAGGGAGTTCCCCGAAGGTTCAAGTCGCGAGGCCCGCAATCGCCCCCGTCGCTCATTCTAACACACCCCTCAAACGTCTCGTGGCCCGAGAGGAGCTCCGCCGCAGGTCCCAGTTGGGCAGCCCGCGTGCGCCCCCGCCGCCCATTTCGGCACACCCCTCACACGTTTCGTGGCCCCGCAAGAAAGCTGAAGGTCCCCGTGGCGCAGCCCGCGTGCACCCCCGCCGCAAACTTCGGCACACCACTCACACGTTTCGTGGCTCCATACGGAGCACCACCACAGGCCTCAGTGGCGGTGCCCACATGCGCCCCTGCCACCCATTTCGGTACGCCTTTCACACGCTTCTTTGCCCCATAGGGAACTCCACCGAAGGCCCCTGTGGCGGTGCCCACATGCGTCCCCGCCGCCCAGATCGGCACACCCCGCACACGCTTCGTGGCCCCAGAGGACTCTCGACCGAAGGCCCAGTGGCGGTGTCCGCATGAGTCCCCGCCACCCGTATCGGCACACCCCTGAGACGTTTCGTGGCCCCATAGGGACACCCACCAAAAGCCCCAGTGGCGCAGTCCACAGTCCACAAGCGCCACCGCAACCCATGTCGGCAAACCCCTCACACGTTTCGTGGCCCCATAAGGAGCTCGATCGATGGCCCAAGCGGCGGTGCCCTACATGCGTCCCCGCCACCAACTTCGGCACACCCTCACACGTTTCGTGGCCCCATAGGGAGCTCAACCGAAGACGATACTCACAACTGCGTTACTCACAATTGCACACGGTTGGGTCCTTCGCCAGGCTAATGTTTTGAGGGTAGCACGTCTGGGTTTGCTGCTTCCCTTGATCAGAGGCTCCCGGCCTGCCTCGCATGGACGCTGAACCCTGCCGACCCCGTGGCCGCAGCAATGGCGCCATCGCGCCTCGTGGTCCTCGTCCTTGTCTGCTTCCCGGATCATCTCCATGAGCTCCTGTCGATGGGTTGCTGAAAGGGCCCCTGGCCCCATATGCCCCCAGCAATACCACCAGCCCTTTGGGCGCAGGTGGTCTAGAAAGTTTCCTTTTCCAGCCTCCGTCATTTCCCTGCTCGGGAGGTGTACCTCCCCCCCCCCTCCCTGGGTCTGGACGGGCTCCCCTGCGAGGGGTTCGAGCGTCCAAGATGGCCCAAGATAGCTTCAAGAGGGCTTTCGCTAGCCCAAGATGGCCTCCAAGATCGCCCAAGATACTTCAAAACGGCTCAAGATAGCCTCCAACACGCATCCAAGAGGCCTCAAGACGGCCCTAGGACGGCTGCAAGGGCCCTCCGAGCCCTCCAAGGACCCCCCCAAGAAGCCAAAATGGGTTCAACACCTAAGGGAGACACGGTGTTTGTTTTGTTGTGTTTTTTTGTGTTGTTTTGTTGCGTGTTTTTTTTTTTTTTTTTTTTTTTGCCTTTTTCGCTTTTTCGCTTCCAATGGGCTCTTGAGGCGTCAAGATGGCCCCAAGATGGCTCAACATAGCCCCAAGAGGGGCCCAAGAGGGCCCCAAAACGGCCCCAAGAGCGCCCAAGAGCGCCCCAAGAGCGGGGCACCAAGACGCCCCTTTTGGGCCTTGGAGGGGGGGGGGGGGGGGGCGAACATTTAAAACCTTCCTCGTTTTGACTTCAGGGGTCCAAGACGGCCCCAAGAGGCCTCCCAGACCCCCCCAAAGAGCCCAAAGATGGTTCCAAGACCGTTGAAGTTGCCAAGAAAACCTCCAGAGGACCCCAAGAGGACCCCAAAATGGCGCCCAAATGGCATTACGGGTCTTCGAAAAAAAACCTCACCACGACAGATGCCCCAAACCAGACTTCTCGTCCTCCTTGTCATCGTCCGTTCCTTCCTTGTTTTTTTCCTGCCGCCGCCGTGCTCCTCTTCCTCCTCCTCGCGCCGCGTTCCTCCTGCTCCTCCTCCTCCTCCTCACCTTCCTCCTGTTCTGTTCTGTTCTGTTCTGTTCCTCCTCCTCCTCCTCCTCTTACCCCCAAAATGGCCCCAGGCATTACCAGCACTAGCAGCCCCATCTGCTCCAAGATGGCTCCAAGAGGGCAACATAGCACCACAAGTAGCAACACCAGCAGCATCACCACCACCGCCACCACCACCACCACCACCACCATCACCAGCAACCGAACGCGAACTGAAGATAAACTTCAGTGCGGGGGCAGAGATCAAGGATGCATATGGGGATGCGACTCTCAACTGTGCGACAAAGGCGACGAATGATAGATACAGTTACCTGCGCCAGAAGCGCTGACCACAGTGAACACCCCGGCGTATCTTGGACTGGTTTCCATCTTACACTTCGCTGCGGGAAGCTATGTGTGATCCTTCTTTCTCATGGCCTAGGGTGGATGCAGCCACCTGCGCTAGAGACGCTTACCACGGGGAGCACCACGTCGCATCTTACACAGATTTCCATCTCAAACTTCAATGCGGGAAGCTATGTGTGGTCCTTGTTTTTCTGAAGACGGTCGCGCAACTGCCTGCTTCCAGCCATCCTTGATTTACCAGCGCCCCTGCAGATCGTTTCTGGGTGGGCTGGCGGAGATACTTTTTGGTTAGAGGGCGCGCGAAACACGTCGAACGCCGAGCGCTCCCCTGCCGCGGCAGGGCCCCGCCTGCGCGGTCGCAGCTGGAGGCGGATCTTCCGCCGCGCATGCATTCGAGCCGCGATGTTCGGGGGCGGGCGACCGCGAGGCGAGCCGGCGGCGAAGGCGGCCGCTGATGGCCATGGGCGACCGAGCGACCGCAACGGGTCGGGTGGGCTCAAGCAAATGACGCCGCTCGTGCGCGAAACTTGGAAGCGGCCGTCGACGCGTCGCGTCGGCGCAGAGAAGACGGACTTCCAATTTGGGCTGGCGATGTCCCGTATCCAGCGCGGGGGGCGCCCGCGCCGCGTGGGTCGGGATCCACTGCGCCGGTTCGTCGACCCCGCTCGCGGGACAAATCGGCGGCCACGGCCCGCCCGGGTCGCCCGCGCAAGCGAACTCGGAGGAAGACGCCGCCAGCGCCGAAAGTGGGTCGGGCAAGAGCGCGGGGGAGCCCCGCGCGCCCTGAGCGACCGCGGCAGGTCGCAAGTGTTCGAGCCCGCGGCACTGCTCGATGAAGGCACCTACAGAGGCTGAGGTGCAATCCGCTGGGCCCGGAGCGACGCGGGCCCCGTGAAAGTGGCCCACTGAGGCCTCCAACCGCCCGACAACGAAACCCCGACTGCGGCAGGGGCCGCGCGGAAGCGAAGCAACGGCGGCACGCGAAAGCCATCCGCCAGGTCGACAAGCCTGGAGGTGGCCCCGCACGGGCCACAGCGGAGTCGATCGGCATGCGGTCGTTCCCCCCGCCTCCGACTGCGGCGGCGGAGGGGGCGGGCGATGGCAAAAACCTGACGGCGACTGTGCCCTGACCGCGCCTGAATCGGCAGCCGCGATCGACGCTGTCGCCTCCTCGTAAAGCGGCGGGACCGTCGTGGGCGAATAGTCTTCGCGCCTCTGAAACAAGCGCGGACGGTCGGCAGAGCTCGCGCGGGCGCGCCGCTCGTAGGCGGAACACCTGGCGGCGGAAAAGGGTACCTCAACAGCGGGAGCGAAGCGGGCCTCAAAGAGGGGGGCCAACGCTGAACGCCGTTGCCGAAAACAGGGGTTCCAACGAACGCCGCGGGCGTGCGCGGTCTGATCGATGGCGGCACCCAGTCGCCAGCCTCCATGCAAGCGACGCCCGGAGGCGGCCTCACGCGCCGCGCGTCGGGGCCCAACGGCGCGTTCAAGCCGGGGGGCGGACGAAGAGACAAAGCCGTCGGAGCGGTTCTTGGCGCGGCGGCCTGGGAAGCTGGAGCGGAGCCCCGCGCGCTGTTACAGCGGTGTCAACGCGCGGCTGCGTGTCCGGCCACCGGGATGTCAAATTGCGAGGACAACGGCGCGCGCCAAGCGGCGCCCTCGAGCCCAGAAGCAGCAGCGAAAAGAAGAGAATGAGTTGGGGGAGGCCGAGATTAGCAGGACTCTTCTCCTCCCCCTCCGCCCGGAAAGACCAGGCGGCGGGTTGTCTCCAAGGGTAAAGGCGGCGGGCTGTCGCCCACTGGCGATCGCTGCAGTCGGACCGTCTTTTCGCGAAGGGTGCTGTGTCCGAAGTTGGGCTGGCGCTCTGCGTCGGCACATGGAGCGTAAGCTCCTCATCTTCGCCCTCCACCTCCACCGCCTCCTCATTTTGAAGTCTCCGCCGCCGCGAGGTCCCAGAGAGGGGCCCGGGGGAGGAAGGACTGGAGTTGTGCAGCAGCGAAAGGAAGGCGGGTGCTATCGAACACCAGAACCCAGGACGGGGCCCAGGAGCCAGCACCGCCCGCGCGAGCAAGGGGCCTCCTTTGAAGGGCCACGGAAACGCTGGGGCGCGCGGCAACGCCCAGCGAACGGGCAGGCCTGCTTGCAGGTAGAGGGTGGCCGAAGCGCCCCCCCCCAGTGCCCCGCCGGGAGCGAAGGGCAGCAGGCGAACCCGAGAAGCTGCGGCTCACAGAACCAAGCTCCCAGGTGACCGCGCCAAGAGGCCGCGGCGATCACCTGCAGCGGGGGGGCGAGAGCCGCGCTCAAGCCGATCGTCCGCCAGAGGACGCCAGTCGTGCCCAACGCAGGCTCCAGACGGACGGGGCAAAAACGACACCAATCCAAAATGAACTCGCGTGGGCTGTTCTTGAAGATGACGGCGACCAGACGCGGGGCTGCGCGCCAGCACGCTGAGGCCGAGAAGCTGCAGGACCTGAACGGGCGCGAGCGGCAAGGAAAACAACTAAAGAGGCGCATCATCATCATCATCATCATCATCATCATCATCATCATCATCATCATCATCATCATCATCATCATCATCATCATCATCATCAACATCAACATCAACATCGAATCATCACCATCATCATCATCATCATCATCATCATGATCAGCAGCACCATCAGTATCAGCATGATCATCGTGACCATCAGCAACAGCACCAGCAGCATCACCAAAAGCAGAATCAGCACCAGCAGCAGCATCATAATCAACATCAGCATCAGCATCATCACCATCGTCATCGTCATTATCATCAGCATCAGCATCACCATCAGCAGCATCATGATCAGCATCAGCATCAGCCTCAGCATCATCATCACCACCATCGCCATCGCAATCACTACCACCATCATCACCATCAGCATCATGATCATACTCATCCATCACCATCATCAGCATCACCATTAGCAGCATCACCATCAGCAACATCAGCATCAGCAACATCAGCATCAGCATCAGCAACATCAATATCATCATCAGCATCATCACCATCATCAGCAGCATCGCAATCGTCATCGTCATCAGCATCACCGTCGTCGTCATCATCATGAAAAGCACACGCAGCATCAACATCATCAGCATCATCACATGCATCTTCACATTCATCTTCATGTTCAACATCCTCGTCGTCATAACCGGTAGCAGCATCAACATCAACATCAACATCATCGTCACTTCTATCACCATCATCATCAACATCATCATCAACATCATCATCGACATCGTCATTATCATATTCATCGTTGTCGTCATAATCATCATCACCATCTTCACCCTCATCATCCCCAGCATCGCCTTCACCATCAACATGACCATCACGGCTCTCCCAACCTTGGAAACACGAACATGATCGACCCACGAACCCGGAAAGGAATATCGAAATGTAAGGCATAGCAACGTTTCAATGACTCCTGATTGGGCGACGGGCGATTACACTGCTGAATGTATCGATCTTGATGTACTGTGCCGAGGGCTGTGCTGTGCTGGGCCGTGCTGAACTGCGATGCGCCATGTCGCGATTGTGCTCTCTATATATATATATATATATACACAGCGTTGTGGATCGAGTCCTTCCTGGCATCCGAGTCCTGACCGAACTGATCTGGATATTAAGCTCGAGCTGCCTGAGCAGATGGTAGCTGC